GGCACTGGTGGCTCACACCTGTAATGCTAGCTACTCAGAAGGCTGAGAACAATGTTAGAGAAAATGGTAATGATCATGTACAAGGCAAAACTTTCTTATATATGACAAAAAAGAAGAATCAAAATTTTAAAGTTTATGAAATGGACTTCTGCTAAAGATGTGTATTGTGAAATGAAAATTAAGTCACTGGTGGGAGGAAAAACTACAAATGTGAATACAGACTATATTCAAAGTATATAAAGAATTCTCAAAATGGTAAAAAAAATGCTCATCCATTTGAGTACTACAAATTGTTAATCAAAAGAAACAATTACAAGAGTCAAGAGACAACAGTATAGGAGAAATTCTTTACCAACTATTTAGTGAATAAAAGATTAATATACGGATAAAAAGTCAAAAAACAAATGGCAAAAGAACAAGTAATCTTATCAAATTAGCAAATGAACAGCTAGTTCTCAGAAAAATTAATATGGAAACAAATGTATTGACTGTATCTTGCTAAAGTGAAAATGCAAATAAAAATTACAATTAATATTCCCTTTCTCCCCAGTCAGATTGGCAACCCTGAAGCAAATAAACAACAACAAAAGAATAGGTGATATCCAGTAAAAACACTGTGGTGATGATGTAAGCTAGTACAACCACTATGGAAATCAAAAGAGAAATACCTCAAAAACATGAAAATACACCTACCTTGATTCCACCATACTACATTTGGGCACATTTCCAAAGATGTATGAAACAATATAGAAGAGATAGTTGTATATGCCCATTTACTGTGAACAGAGGCACATAATAAATACGAATACAGAATAAATTCTCAAACTCTAGTTAAAAAAAACAAGGCTATGGATATGGCTCAAGTAGAAGAGCGAAAGCTAAACATGAGGCCCTGCATTCAAACTCCAGTGCCACCAAGAACAAAAAAGAAGGGTCAGATTTAGTAAGAAAAAATGATATGCTTATTTCTTGGGCTAATAGAAATGTGAAGACAAAACATTAAAAAGAAGAAATCATAAAAGTTATGTAATAAAACATGATATTGTATGATGGCTTAAGAGTTCATTACAATCCTTTAAAAATGACTCCTTCATATATTCCAAATTTTACAAATTTACATAGTATACTTCTTTTTGTACAACTCAAAACTAGCTGAGAATATAAAACAAAGCAATTTTTGTTTACTTGGTTAATGTGTACCATTAATTAAATTTAAACCTGTCCTCACTAAACCACTTATATTCAGTTTATATAAGTAGATTAATGTAATAAAAGGTACCTAATAAAAAGAATACGACTAGGTAAATAAATAGGAGCTCCTTAGCTTTGTCTTTGCTTTCTAACTTAAATATTTAACTTAAATATTTTAATGTATACCAAATTAATTCTATTCCTCAGTGATTCCTTGCAGAAAGATTTAAAGTATGGCCAGATTAAACAGCAAAACCCATCTACCAATGTGGAAAAAGTAACTGAAGAAACAGTTTTTTTTTTTTTGTTGCTGCTTCTTTATGTTTTTGTTTTTTTTTTGTCGGTCGTGGGGCCTGAACTCAGGGCCCGGGCTCTGTCCCTCGCTCTACCACTTGAGCAACAGTGCCACTTCCAGCTTTTTCTACTTATGTGGTGCTGAGGAATTGAACACAGGGCCTCATGCATTCAAGACAAGCACTCTACCACTGAGCTACCTTCCCAGCCCCTACAGGAACAGTTTTCATAAGAACTCTTTGGGCAGGAAATTTACTGGGCACTGCACTATTCCCAAGCTTCTTTTTGCTCAGAGCTAGCACTCTACCACTTGAGCCACAGCAACACTTCCAGCATTTCCTGTTTATATGTTACTGAGGAATCAAACCCAGGACTTCATGCATGCTAGGCAAGCACTCTACCACTAAGCCATATTCCCAGCCCGCTATTAATTATATTTCTATATGGTAATTCATATAAACACCAAAATGTCCAAAGAGGAAAGTAAATCCAAGAGGCATTTTATGTAACATGATCCACCTTAAGAAATGTATAAATGGTAAAGCTTAGAATTTAACATCAGTCCCAACTGGACAGCAAGTTCCTTAAGGGAAGGATTACAGTCATAAACCTCCACACCTCTTAGTACATTGTCTTGCATCAATCCTGAGCTTATAAAATGACTACTGATGCCTGATTACCAATCCACAAACATTTCCAGAGTTCAATGATAAGGAAATATATAGCAACAAAGCATCTTGAATATTTCTGCTTATTGTAGTATGCCTATGTAACCACAACAGATATACTGGAAGATATATATTGGGATAAATAACTTCAAAACCAATGTGAAATTCCCTGGAGTTAAATTCAGAGTTCTGAATTCACTTATGTTCTAAAATTATCATTCTAGGACAGCTTAATATATCTTTAAGCTTTTAACCTTCTCTGTTGTAATTTCCTGCTATAAAATCAATAAAGTGCAGGTTGTAAAGAAAGTTATTTTGTACTATTACTTTACTGCTAGCTAAGCAGATGTTAGTCAAAACCCTCTCTGCAGCTTAGTGAGAATTTGTCAGAGCAGCTGGTGCCCTTTTCCTAGTTAGCTGTTTACAAGTGTTCCCAATGGACATTGCAGTACTGCCATCCTGGAAAAATTTGGGACACACTAGACTAATTCTTATTTTGAGGAAGGACAATAGATGGCATTTACTTTCAAAAAAGACGTAGATATTTTATACTTTGAACTATATAGCTTCCTTTCAAAACAAGTAAACATTACTCTTTATATAATTTAAACAATTGCTGGGAACTGAAAATGACTAACATCTCTTATTTATAACTTGGTAGGAAAGCTATTTGGAAAATCATTTTGTATATGTTAAACATCCATTAAGTCCAAAAGAAAATATAGTATCAACAATTCTTTTCATATGTAAGATCGAATGCATTAAAATCAACAGGTACTTTGAATTACATGTTCTTGTAGTTTCATATAGTGATACTTTACATAATACTTTAACATGAAAAATGATAGCCATCCTGACAGGAACCAAGTTTTTATAATACAAATTAACCTCAAAGATTGTACATGGAAAGGCAACATATAATATATATGTATATTTATATATTTATATATGCCAGATCTATACTACCAATTTTGTACCCAATGCATTATACAGTGTACTGCTGCGAAATATTCAACATTAGTAGTCCAACACTGCTACAAGCTCACAGAAGTCAGTGTATTTAACAATAACATCATTCTCATCTTCGTTTTATAGGTAATAACAGTACCTTCTTTTCTTTCTGGGAAACTCTTCTTTGTCTCTCAGTGGCTCATGGGAACAAGTAACAATGGGGATACATTGTGATTAGTAAGAATCCCACACTTTTATCACAGGGAAAAGGAACTGGTTCAGAAATCCCTGATAACCTAAGTCAGGTAAATCCAACTTCATCACAGTTTTTTGTTTTGTTTTGGTTTGGATTTTTTTCCTGACAGAACTTAAAGAAAAACTCTTATTTTGGGGATCAGAGGAGGAAGAAATAGCTGCTGAAACAGCTAGAATATACTTCTCCCTGGTTATACAGAAAAAAGTCTTTAGTAGAACTCAGGAAATAAAGTGAATCAGAGAAATATAAAGGGAGTTGGCTAAGAAAAGGAAAGGAAATAAAAACAGCAGAGAAAGAAGATAAAAGCAGGGAAAAGCTGGGTACAGGTAGTTAGTTCATGCCTATAATTCTAGTTACTCAGGGGGCTGAGGACTGAGAATTGCAGTTCAAAGCCAACCCAGGCAGACAAATTTGAGAGACAATTATCTCCAGTTAATCATTAAAAAGCCAGGATAGAAGGCATGGGTCAAGTGATAGAATACCAGCCAGGAGTGAAAAAAGCCAAGTGAGAACCACACACTCATTCATACAAAAAAAGAAAACTCAAGGAAAATAAATGACAACGTTTGAACAAATAGGTAACTTTACTCTGTAATCTAGTTAGAAATGGCAATAATTTTTTTTTTGTTTTGTCTCTGATTGCCATAACTTCCAAATGAGCAACTTAAAAACAATTATAGAAACTCATCTAACATTTTAAAAAATTATTCCTTCCCTAAGAAAGTACAAAATCCATTGGACAACATATTGTACATCATTTTAGAATTTAAAAGTTTTTTTTGGAGGTATGACTTTTTTATTATTGTGAAAATACTATACAGAGGGGTTACAATTAAAAATTCTTAATTTTGATTTTTCTTTTTTTTTTTTTGGTCAGTCACAGGGCTTGAAGTCAAGGCCCATGTTCCTGAGATTTTTCAAAGCTCAAGGTTAGTCGCTCTCTATCACTTTCAGGCACAGCTCCACTTCTGGTTTTCTGGTGGTTAATTGGAGAGAAGAGTCTCATGGACTTTCCAGCCCAGACTGGTTTCAAATAGTGAACCTTAGTTTTCAGCCACCTGAGTAGCTAGGTGTGAGCCACCAGTTCCTGGCTTAAAATTCTTAATTTTTGCTGGGCACCAGTAATTTATGCCTGTAATCCTAGCTACTCAGGAGGCTGAGATCTGAGGATCGCAGGTCAAAGCCAGCCTGGGCAGTTCGTGAGACTCTTATCTCCAATAAACCACTCAGAAAACCAGAAGTGGCACAGTGGCTCAATGGCAGAGCACTAGCCTTGACCTGAAGAGCTGAGGGACAGCGTTCAGGCCCAGAGTTCAAGCCCCATGACTGACAAAAAAAAAATCTTTATTTTTAAGTAGAAGTGCAAGAGTACATTTTAAAAATAAGACAAATATATTTAAAAAGGATTAAGTGATAAAATTAAAGTAGAAACACATATGCAAAAACACAAATGTTAGATGTATGAAGGAATATATTTTGTAAAAATTCAAACTCCAGCAAAGTACCTTTTTGTAACCAATAGCTTAAACTTCATTCTTTGTACAATCAGTCAACTACTTTTAAAAATAATTTTTCAACACAAATCCATTTATAATACATAGCATGCTACAAAAATATCAACTGTACAAAAAGCTGCTCACCTCATCTAAGTCTTGGATGTAAACTGGCTTTTCCTCAAAGCCAATTGGCATAGGTTCACTGTAGGGAATTCGTACTTCTTCATAAAGCTTGTTATTCTCTCTTTGGATTCCTTCTGGTAAAATCATCTACAACCATGAAAAACAAACACCAGTACTAATAAAAATCCAAACTGCTCTGGTGAATAATTTTGCATAAAGACAGCGACAAAGACTGAGAATAGTACTGGCTTTATGATATAGCACTAGCAAATAAATTTATCTTAAGGAAAACAAAAAGAATTAAATAAAAATAAGCAGACTTAAAACACCCATGCAAGCCATTCATGTATAAGTATCTCATGTGATATACATGCCATGGGATGCTGTAAATCTTAAAATATACATTAATTCCATGGTTTGTCTAAAGGTAAATGTACTCACATAACTAGGAAAATGTGTAATACATAGTATAAAGTTGAGCAGAATTGTGATACAATAGATAAAATCCAAAACTACAAATTGTCACAATAAAGAGAAATTAACAAGTGTGTCAGAATACGTACTACTTAAGCTATACTGCAGTATTTTATTTTCCATACCATTTTAAATACAATTTAAATTCAATTTAAAATGGCAAAGAGACAACTAGAACTATATGCACTATATTAAAAAACCAGGGACACCGTAATTTTTCAGAGAAGACCTATTCTGACCTGTAAGCAGTAATTATACACCAATGACAAACCTTTGCACCAGCAATGAATGCTGACGTTTTCCTGGCTTCTGCCTGGGAATCATAAACATGGGGATAACGCAGTTTTTCAATATCCGTATCTCTCTGCCTACTCAGAATCGGAACACTCCTGGCATTCAGAAGTGCCTGCTCTCTGTAAACACAAATAACAGGCCAAATTTCACATTTTTATTTTAGAAAGAAAAGCATTTATTAAATTAGTATAATTATTTCAGATATTCTTCCCAAATAAAAAGGAAATTATAATATAAAATATATATATAAATATATAATATAAAAATATATATATAATATAAAAAATAAAATAAAATAAAAAGGTATCATTCAGAATATTGAGAGGTAAACAAATAGGATTCAGCACATTTAGATACTATATTTAGACAAGCTTTAACAACTTTGGCTTAGTGTTTTTTTTTTTTTTTTTGGTCGGTCGTGAGGCCTGAACTCTGGGCCTGGGTGCTGTCCCTCAGCTCTTCAACTCAAGGCTAGCACTCTACCACTTGATCCATGGTGCCACTTCCAGCTTTTTTCTTTTTGCTTATGTGGTGCTGAGGAATAGAACCCAGGGACTCAGGCATGCAAGGCAAGCGCTCTACCACTGAGCCACCTTCCCAACCCTGGCTTAGTATTCTTTATAATTTCATTTTGTTATAATCCAAAGATGTTTAAGAGGATATGAGTGTTTTATTAATGTTTCAATAATTAAAGAATCAAGTAAAATGATCATTTTAGTGAAAGGATCTATTTATATCACTTTCTTACCTTTCAGTTTAAACAGTAACATAGATTTAAAAAAGAAAGAAATTAATCTAAGAAAGAAAATAAAAGTTTTCATTGGCTTTATAAACTTTATATTATCTAACTAAATGGTGTGTGTACAGCATCTAAAATTAGCTTATGTCTAATATCTAAATTATTTATACACATGCAATATTTTAATTAATTAGATGATTGTTTTCTATCCCAGAAAAACAGCTTTTCATACAACAAAATTCTATCCTTATAAGAAAACACGTCTGTGAGAATTGCTAAAACCAAATTAAAAAATGACGTGTAAAAGTAGCAATTACAAGAAGTACATTTTCAATTTCCAAATTTCGTTACCTGTGTATCCGCAATTCCTTGGGATCAAAAGACAAAAGTCCTTCTCCAGAAACTTCTCCATCTTCTCCAGCCTTTTTCTCTCTTCTGGCAATTCTTTTCTCCTCACGGCGATACTGTTTCATTAACTGCTTTTCTTGTTCAGATTGAATAGTGACTTGACAACCATAGTTAGGTTTAGTGTTCTCTCCTAAAAATTTTTTGCAATTGTCTACAAAGCAAATGTAATAAATAGAATGAATTATAATCCCAGACACAATTTAATCTTCATGAAAAACGTTTTCTTATCTACTAAAACATAAAACAGCACAATGCACATGCGCTAATAGTTCACATTTTATATCTATCTATATATATATATATATTTTTTTTTTTTGGTGCCCGTTTGGGGGCATGAACTCAGGCCTCAGTGCTATCCTTTGAGCATTTTTGCTCAAGGCTAATACTCTACCACAGCTCTTCTTCAGCTTTTTGTGAGTAATTCATTAGAGATAAGAGCTTCATGGACTTTCTAACCTGGGCTGGCTTTGAACCACCATCTTCAGATTTCAGCTTCAAGAATAGCTAGGATTACAGGTGAATGCCACTGGCTCCTATTACATATTTTATGAGCAGGTACTACAACCACAATATATAACATGGTAGCTTAAGAAAAGTCAGTATTTCCTTCCCACAAATTCAATATTCACTGCTATTAACACATGTATCAGGATTGCAGAAAGTACTAAATGTAAAGGAATGATTGTTCTGTAAGACTGTGATTTTAAAGAAGAAAATGATAGGATATGGTTAATAACTTTCCAACTAACTTTAAAAAAAAGTGATCATGTGGGAGAATTCTGACGTACCATTAAACCTACAACTCCATCAAAATACAAAGGGAACAAACAGTGACGAAGTTTAAAGACTCTTCTTCAGTATTTCCTTACGACTCAAAAAATTTTAAGAGAAACAATTTTTCAAGAGATATCCGTTGAAAACATTACTACAAAACATTTTAAATATACTAGCTGTTATTCTTGATTACATTTCTCAGAAAGTATTAAAAATATGCAAATACTGCAAATTTTCTAAATAGTAGAAAAATGACTATACATCATTGAGTAAAAATAGTAAAAGCAATTGAGCATTTCAGGACACACTAGTGTTTAAAATATATTTTTGAATTTAAATTTAATATGATTTTTATTAAACACTGTGATGTTTCTCAGACATAATCCTGACAGAATTTATGACATAAACATAATAAAACATAATGAGCAGGAAGACAACTAACTCATCTAAAACTTCCATAAAAGATGTGAAGTTGGACTTCCCATTAACTTTATGTAATAAATTAGAACTTTTTCATGTTAGGATCAATAAATATCTCCATAGTAATATTTAGGAGGCTGATTAAAGAAAGAAAATTTTCCAAATCTACATTTCAGGACCATAACTCATTTCTTTTCTTCTGGCAGAGGCTGATATTAAATATTATTCCTAAGCCCTTTGACTTTGTTGCAGTTGACTGATAACCTTAGTGTAACATCATTGCATCATAATACGGCAGGTTTATTTTTTTAAAAGAAGATGGGTGACAATGTTAACAGACACTTTGTATTCATATACTGTTTTGTAGAATGGGAACTTCTTTGTAGAGCCATTTAAAGACAATAAAAAATTTAAAAAAAGAAGTTTGGCTTCTTAATTAACTTTAATATTTAAAAAGTATATGTCATATGTGACAATCCAGGTCTTCTTTGGCTATGATAGTTGCATTACAGTTAAATAGAAGATTGTTGTTGTTAGATGTATTAGTGAATTATCAGAATGCCTACAACTTGAGCAAAAATTTTACATGTAGATGCATATGTGTGTGTGTGTGTGTGTGTGTGTCTGTACACACATATTTAAGAGAAAGAAACAGTAGGAGGAAAATGTTAAAAAGTAGTGAATCTATATGAAGCATATAGAAAGGATCCTTGTATTATTCTTAGATCTTATATAACAGGTTTCAAAGTGTTCACAATACAAAGATAAAGCCAGGTGCCAGTGGCTCACGCATGTAATCCTAGCTACTCAGGAGTCTGAGTTCTGAGGATCGAGATTCAAAGCCAGCCCGGGCAGGAAAGTCTGTGAGACTCTTATCTCCAATAAACTACTAGAAAACCGGAAGTGGTGTTGTGGCTCAAGCGGTAGAGTGCTTGCCTTGAGCTGAAGAGTGCAGGGACAGTGCCCAAGCTCAGAGTTCAAGTCCCATGACCGACCAAAAAAATTTTAAAAAGATGGGAAAAAAGCACTTTGTCAAGATAGATATACTTGTTTACAAACACTTTCCTCTCCCCAAAAAAGTCTTTCTACTATTTATTTTATGTACTGTCTATATATATTATATATGTACTATACATTATAATTTTATTTTTTCTTGTTGGTTGTGGGGCTTGAACTCTGGGCCTGGGCACTTTACCTGAGCTCTTCCGCTCAAGGATAGCACTCAACCACTTGAGCCACAGAGCCACTTCTGGTCTTCTGGTGGTTAATTGGAGATGAAAGTCTCACCATCTTTCCTGCCGGCTTTGAATCACGATCATTAGATCTCAGCCTCCTGAGTAGCTAGGATTACAGGCATGAGCCACCAGCACCCAGCTTTAAAATATTATTTTTTAAAAGTACTACCCCAATAATGTTATATCCTCTTGTTTGACAGTTACATTTGTTTAACAAAATATCTAAAATCTACTTAGCAAAATGGTACCAATTAAATGGATCAAAGAATATAGAAAACATAAGAATAATAAAAAGACTTGTTAAATGAATTAATCTTGTTTTTAATTTAGAATTATTTCTCCATAATTTCTTACCCTGAAGAAGTTGAAACTTATGATCATTTGAAGAATTAAGGAATCTATCAACAATTGTAATTCTATTCTGAAGAAGCTTCTCAATAAGCTCAAGTCCTTCAGGTCCCAGCAATTGAAATAGCTTTACAGAGAAATAAACACAATATTGTTAATTAAAAATTAATGTTTTCAAGTTATTAACATATTATTCAATCTAAGTACTTAAAGATTAAGGAACATAGTAATTTTAAAAAGTAAATTAAATCTTCACATTGCTAAAGAATTTTCAGCATTATGAAAATTACCTGAAATCATGTAATTAAAGATCATACTTTTTAAAATAATTATAATTAGATACAGATATTGAAATTACAAGGTAAATTCTTTCATGTGGTTTCTCTTGGTATAAGCACACATAATTCTATAACTTTTTTCCAACGCAGAGTCTGTATACTTTTCCTAAGAGCTTTCTATATGAAACTGCTATCATTTTCATTTTAAGAACTGTTAGAATGCTTTAATGAATCATAACTGTATGCCCAATTCTTACATGTATTTTAAATGCTTATTAGGTCTAGAATCAAAAATATATTTGGGAATGTGGCTTAGTGGCAGAGTGCTTGCCTAGCATGCATGAATCCCTTAGTATCACATACACAGAAAAAGCCAGAAGTGGCTCAAGTGGTAGAACACTAGCTTTAAGCAAAAGCAGCTCAGGGACAATGTCCAGGTCCTGAGTTCAAGTTCCATGACAGGACTGGCAAAATATATATATATATATATATATATATATATATATTGCTTTAAATGTTTTATATAACCATTTAAAAATTTCTCATGTATATCTTATTTTTCTAAGCTGTAGCTAACAAAAATTAAAAAGTTTCAATGTTATGTTAAAATGTTATGATTCATAATCTTTCAATTACCTAACTGCATAATATAATTGTCCTAGGGAGCCTTTAAATTTCCCCCTATGTGATCAGGAAATATACATTTTTTCTTCCTTTTCAGAATTGTAAATAGTATAATTGTGCAATGTGAAGATATTAAATTAAGCAAATCTGTTACCAGAGAACACACAAATAAAATCAAAAGACAAAAAAATTATGTTGATGGGCTGGGAAGGTGGCTCAGTGGTAGAGCACTTGCCTTGCATGCTCAAGGCCCTGGGTTCGATTCCTCAGCACCACATAAGTAAAAAGAAAAATGCCCGAAGTGGCGCTGTGGCTCAAGTGGTAGAGCGCTAGCTTTGAGCTGAAGAGCTGAGGGACAGTGCCCAGGCCCAGAGTTCAGGCCCCACAACCGGACCCAAAAAAAAAAATTATGTTGAATTATATAGGAGACATAAAATGTACAGTATTTTCTTTTTACTGTTGTTAACGTTCTATATACAAAAAGACAATAAAATAAAAAATTATCTCAATTATTCCTATGCATATCAATTCTATAAGCAATAAATATTAAACATTTGTAATATAATATGGCATGCAATATAAAACTCACTAATTCCATCCAGCAAATCCTCCTAATATTTTAAAAATAAAGTACTACTATTAGCTGGTTACAGTTATTCACACCTGTAACCCTAGCTACTCAGCAGTTAAAAAGTGAAAATACTTTAGTTCAAGGCCAGCCCAGATAAAAAATTCATGAGATCCCACTTTACCCAATAAAAACTAAACACACTAGTGAGCACTGATTATCCAGCTGCTCAAGAAGCATAAATAGGACAATGTGGTCCAGACCGACCTGGGTAAAATGTGAGGCTGTATTTAAAAATGTAATGTAGAAAGACATAAGGTATGGCTCAAATGGTAAAGAACCTGCCTAATTCACTCTAATCCTGCTGATTTTTTAAAACTACAGCAAGATACTATTCATAGTTTTAGATTTTTCAAAAAGAAATATTAATAAATTTATATAAATTTCCCTTGTTATAAAGCTATTAGCAGAGTGGAGTTTTGAAATAAAATGTACCTGAATCCAAACATGAAGAACTTTCTAATGTACCATGCAAAGACTTATGGAATATTTATAGAAAATTGTTGTGGAATGAAATGAACATAAATACATGGTCCATAAAAAAATATAGTAGATAAGCATGGTAGTACACATCTGTGAGAGGGATCAACAAATGGAGGCCAACCTGGGCTACAGAGAAGACCTTATCACAAAATACTAAAACAAATACTCCCCCATAAAAGATTTTAATTTCAGAAATATAAAAGGTATCAACAAAGGTTAAACATTTTTTACAAAAAGAAATCACGGGGCTGAGAATGTGTGTCAGTAGTAGAGTGCTTGCCTTGCATGCATGAGGCCCTGGGTTCAATTCCTCAGCACCACATAAGCAGAAAAAGCCGGAAGTGGCACTGTGGATCAAGTGGGTAGAACGCTAGCCTACAGCTGGAGAGCTGAGGGACAGCGCCCAGGCCCAGAGTTCAGGCTACACGAAAAGTAAGAAAGAAAGAAAAGAGAAAGAAAGAAAGAGAGAGAGAGAGAAAAGAGAGAGGGGGAAGGAGGGAGGGAGAAAGAGAGAGAAAGAAGGATAGAAAGAAAGAAAGAAAGAAAGACAGAAAGAAAGAAAGAAAGAAAGAAAGAAAGAAAGAAAGAAAGAAGGATGGATGGAAAGAAAGGAAGGAAGGAAGGAAGGAAAAAACAAAGAAAGAGAGAAAGAAGGAATGGAAGGAAGGAAGGAAAGAAATTGTGCTGTGAGTTTCCATCTCCAGCACAAAACCAAAAGAAAAATAAATATTAAAATGAAAATATAACATGACATCTACCATCATCACCCAAACCCCCAATAGAGATATGTGGCAAAAAAAAAAAAAGGCTTACCAGCAAAGACAATGGATGCATAAAAGAAAAACACAATGTTTTCCCTTCCTTTCTCTATGAAAGTTTCAAGAACAATTAAACAAAAATAATGGTATTTGGATTCCAAAAGGTCTTAAGACTCAATGAGTGGGTACAGTAAGGTCAAGACTTCGTTGTTACCTGCCTTTTTCATTGTGCTGACATTTGCATAGATGACTTAAAAGCTATGGTAGATGCCTTCACACAGTAGCCTAGTGTTTTCAAACTATCATGCAGGAATAGTTACAAACAACAAAAAGTCAGTTTTATTTAAGAATGTACTTCAATGAAGATAAAAAATTATTAGTTTAAGTTTTATATCATGAGTATGTGCTTTTTAATAGTCTGTGTAATAAAGAAATACATGTATACAAATAGTTTTGTCACACACTGATTGGTGATGGTGTCTCAAAGTGCCAGTAAGATCTTTCTATATTTTTTATTTTAGTATTTTGATTCTATTGTATTTTGATTTGAGCTAATGACTCAAGACAAATGGGCTATTCTATCTGGCATACTTATTATAAAAAAAATGACCACTTTACTAAGGAAACAAGTACAAGTACTTCTCTCCAATTCTTTCAAGAGAAAATTAGATTTTATAAAACTTGTATTCACTGAAGTAAATTTGACCATTTCCTAATATTAAAAGACTTATTCTGATGAGGCCACTCTTGATGTTGATAAATGAATAACACTTTTTGAGCGCAGTTTCAGGCCACGTTAGGCAGAAAAGTTTAAAAAATTCCACCTCAAGAGAGGGAAGATGGACACAGTGGACTGTACCTGTCTTAACAGGAACTACAAGTATAAAATGGTTGGATCACAGTTCCTGCATAATAAAAACAGGAAGTAAGATTCTATTTTTAAAATAACCAGCAGGTAGGGAAGGGAGAAAGGAGGTGATGGGAGTTGTGACTGTTACAGAAATAAATTATATAAATGTATGAAAACAGCATAATAAAATCCACCAAAAGCTATTATAAAAGAGGAATAATCAAAAAAGGTAATACTGATAGGGGCAAATTAAAGTACATTATTTGCATGCAGTTAATATCATAATGAAGGACCTTTATACAATTAGTATATGCTAATAAAAATAGCTTGCTGGTTGTAGGATGTTTTGCTATTTTCTTGTTGTGCCTTTGTTTTTGGCTTTCCTGTGTGATAATGTCTCTCTGTATATGAGGCTGACCTTGAATTCACTATGTAATCCTACTGAACTTGTAATCCTACTGTCTTAGGCTCCTCATTGCTGTGATTACATGCCTATACCACTATGCCTGGGGGACACTTTGAATATGCTGTCCCACCATCTCTGATCTTCATTACTTCTGCTGAAACATCATTGGTTAGATTTTTTGAGGATTTTCTGTTAAGTGATAATTCTTTGTGCTGCTCTCGATATTTGTTTTTTAACCTATTTTTACTATGATGCACTTGTTTGTGGATATGTGTTTATAATACTTGTTCACCACTAGTCACGAGTTTATTGAATTTTTTGGATATGTGGGTTGGTATTTTCCAATAAATTTGAGAAGATTCAAGCTTCTCATACACTTGTGCTCCTCTCTCTCCTTCTTGCATATGCCTGTATTGCTTTTCTTTCCATTCTTTGACTCATCTCTATAATTCCCTAATTCTTTTGCCAAGTAAATGAATTTTTGTTTCACTTATACTTATTCCTTCCCTATTTGATTTAAATTTGTCTTCTTTAATCATGACTTACTTTCATTTTTTGAATCTATTTAGAATGCCTACTTTCTATTAAATTTGATAGCTGGTCACTTCACAGATTGTTTCTATTACTTGCTTTTACTTCCTCATAGTATGAATAAAACTCTCTTGCTTTTTGTCAGGTCTTGTAATTTCTTTATTAGAAACTGGAAATTTTCAATAACATTATAATAACTGAGTTATTTTATTATATATTTATTATATTTTTATATTATTTATTATTTGTTTTATGCCTACAGCTAGTTATTGCTACTTGTTAATTGCCTAGATTGCCACATAATTGTTTTCCCTTTTCACCACCCTCCTCAAAAAAAAAAGAAAAAAGAAAAAGCCTCCGAACATTGTAATAGGAAGTATTCTCTACAAAGAATGTGAACTATTCTTTAAGCTTTATTAACTCTTAAAGAATGTTAATTCTTAAATAAGGCCATTCCTTCCCTTGGAAAATAATCATGGCAGATATGCTCTTACATATATTTTTGGTCACTCAACGTTACTTGATTTAAGTTCAGATTCAAGAATTAAATTCATGTTCAGAGGGAAATT